GGTTTTAGGGCTCAGGGGTTTAAGGGTTTAGGGTTTAGGGGTTTAGGGTTTCGAGTTTAGGGTTTAGGGGTGTGCATAAGTACAAAAACAGAGGCTTTTTCTATCATGTCGCCCGGCACTCTTCTTCTTACACTCATGGCTTCAGGGCAACATCATTGATGAAGAAGCAATAGCTGTCGGCGTTCTTCACCGCTTCCGCTGGATACTCCGTCGCCAGCTTTTCGCAGGTCCAGCGTCCGTATGCTACCTTGACTAACTTCTGAACCCCCCCCAAAAAAAAGCTAAACTTTTAGTCCCCTCATTACAATTCATCTAGAAGCCCAAACAGTTAAAAGCCTAAGAGCCAACCAGAAGAAAACCAAGCTACCTTGCCATCTTTGCAGCTGCCATCCTCTTCTTTGCCCTTTGCACAAACATCATCGGTATACCTGGGCTCGGCTGACAAACCACATCAAAACACCAGCTAGTTCGTTCTTTAGCTAGCTACTTAACTAACCAACCGTTTAACTAACTAACTGATTACTTCATCAAATAGTAGTTCAGTGTTCATGTATGTGCTACTTGTTCGTTTGCTCAGAATTATCCTTTACATGCGGGTCTTGACAAATGATGCAATAATAAACTAGGGCTAGGCACATGGTTTCGTGGTGCGAGGCCTCGTGTGTGAGAGTCTCAATCTTGTCACCCTCGATGGTGTTCATGTAGAGGTCACACAAGTGGAAGACATAGCGACCACGCATGTTTTTGTTCCACGGCGGAGATGGATAAACATACGCATAGGTACTCGGAGTGCAATCCTCTCCCGGGAAAACGTAGTCCACATTGCTCAGCAGCCGGTGGACGCCATTCAAAATACCCAAGACTTCGGAGCGAGTGACATCGTCATTTGCCCCAAACCTCAGATGCTTCGGCTCGTTGTCGGTGGGTCTTGAAGCCCTAGGCCCTAGGCCCTGAAACCCTGACCAACATCTCTGTAAAACCCTAGAACCTTGATCCCATAATCTAAACATATCTAAAACTCTATAACCTCAACTATAAACCCTAACTTAGCCTGTGAAACCCTTTAAGACCCATGGCCAAGACGCCATTTGGTCACCAAGTGCGGCACTCGGCGAGAGCCCATGGCTCGAAGAGCCTCGAACAGGTTTTCAGGGCTTACGGGTTTAGGGTCTTTGGTTTAAGGGGTTTAGGGCTTCGGGTTGGGGGCTCCATAAACAGTCGTAGAGGACTGGGGCCATTTTTGGGTCAAGGTTGCAGAAAGGTGCGATTCAGATCATCGATCCTCACGCAGCACGCAGCCATGAATTCTACGAGCTCGGCGTTTGTCTCGCTTTCTCTCTCTCTCTCTCTGCCGTTGCATCCAGAGAAATTCGGCATGTGCTTGACCTATACCAGAGCCCTGCAATTCCGAATCCCGAAACTACAGAACTAGTACCCAAAGTACCCCAAAATTTGTAATTCTAAACCCTGCAGCTGCAGCCCTGAAACCCAAACCCACGGTTTAGGGTTTAGGGTTTAGGGTTTAGCCAAGTCTTGCTTTAAACGGTAATGTAGGAACCTGATTAAGAAACCCTGGGCCTTTATTACGGTTCTTAGTATGAGCCCTAATCTATTTGGGGTTATAGGGCCAGGGTTTCTAAATCAGGTTCCTACATTAAAACCAATTGAAGGAACCCTGAATACCCTATGTCCGAAGGAACCCCTGAAAAACCCAAAAAAAGTGTGAGCGCCACCTTCGCCGTGTAGGCCTGGGCCTTCACCGCGATTCGTACCGCTTCATCCTCCCATGCCTTCTTCTTCCCACCTTGAGGGCTGAATATGGCCGTAACAAAGGCTTATTATGGCCATGATAAGGGCATAATAGGGCCATAATAAGGGCCTAAACCCTAAACCCAAACCCCCCAAGCCCAAAACCGGGTTTATATCTTTTCTTCCTGCCCTGAGGTTTTAGGATGTTTCCTTGCAGGATTAAGGTTTAATTTAGACTATATCCTCCTGCCTTGGGTTTTACCAAAAGCTGAAAAACCTGTGCAGACCCAGGCACGATGGGCAAAGCGTAAGGCACCCGGAAAGCTCGACGTCCCTTTGAAGGAATCTAAACCGAGGCTCACCACAGGCCAAAGGCCTTACATACTATGGTTTAGGGTTTAGGGTTTGGGTATGGTCTTTGGACCCAAAAGCCTGAAAGTAAGAGTAGAGCCTCATAAGGGAAAGGTGACCGCTATCTTTTCAATCTGCGCTTCAGCAATCGAGGTATCTCTCCTTCCTATAACTTATAACCCTAAACCCTAAGCCCTCGGCCCTCAACCCTAAGCCCTATGTGGGGGGATCCGAAAATAGGAGACCCGAAAAAAGTACCTTGAATGGTAGGATCCTTGCTCTATGGAGCCCAAAATAAGGTACCCCTTGTCCCCTTGTTGTCGGAAACTCCCACGTGAACCCGTTCTAGACCCTACCCTTCCCGACCTTTGCCGGACTTCCTGCCCTGTCTCTCATGCCTCAGGGAGTCAGGGGCTCGGTCGTCGGTTCGGGGGGCTGGGGGCTGGTTTCGACTCTCACACTCGCACAAGGCCAGCAAGGCTCGCCCCCGGTTTAGGGTCTCGAGTTGCATGTATAATACAACCCTGAACTGTCTCGGACCTTACATAGAACCCCGCACCCTTAAATCCTACACAGCTAAACTTAAACACACTAGCCCCACAGCCCCAAAGCCTAAACCCTTGAACGCCTACAAATTGAACCCCAAATCTCTTACATGCCGCACAGCGCCCTGAATGCTGAAGCCCCGTGCGCCCCCAAAACAGCCTCTAAACCCCTAAACCTTAAACCTCAAACCTTGGCGCCTGGGTGGATCCACGGCTGGAGGAGGCAACGGATGCTCAAAGGTCCTCGGATGAGTGTCTCGGCTTCGGGCCCAACAAATCGAAGGATCGTCTTAGTAGTAGAATACTGTACTACTGTTGATGATATAAATCCTGCATTACCCATAAGGAATATACCATAAGTCCCGCAGGTTAGGGCCCTTAAGGTCATGCAGAAGTTATATCATCAACAGTAGGAAGGGAGGGTGGTTCAAGTTCAGAGGGCACCCGGGACACCAGGGGGAACCTTAGGGAAGACCGGGGAGAACTCTGGGGGATTCCCGGGTTTAGGGTTTAGGGGGTTTAGGGTTTAGGGGGTTTAGGGTTTAAGGGGGGTTAGGGGGTTTAGGGTTTAGGGGGTTTAGGGGGTTTAGGGGGTTTAGGGGGTTTAGGGAGTTTAGGGAGTTTAGGGGGTTTAGGGTTTAGGATCCCATGGCAGTAAGTAGAGATCCGGTTCGAAAGGTCCACGCTCCTTCGCAGCTTTCGGGTCTTCTGTTTGGGGCTTTGCCTTACTTCCCCAGTAAGCCAGGGAAATAAAAGGTTAAACTTTCAGATTACTGCTAAGATATCAGAACCCACAAAGTTTAAAGGTTGGGTAGTGGAGAACTAAGTTTGCAAGGGTACCCTAAACCCTAAACCCGAAACCCTAATACTTAAAGGATCAGGGCGGATAGGAAACGAGATTCTAAGTACCGCAATCGGAGGTAACGGTCAGACATAACGTAGTTACCATAGGGGCCTTAATAATTAGACTAAGGTTTTGGGGTTGCTTTAGGGTTTCTTAAAGAGTTCTATAAGGGCTACTATAAGGGTTTCGGGAACCCCAAAAATAATACGGGTAATTATTAAGGCCCCTACATTACCTTTATTCCAACCCTCGTTTAAGCCAGAGGTCCTTCTAGAAGGGTTCAAGATTGAGCGCATCCTGCATGAGTTCAGAGGTAAGGGCGGCTGCGCTGTGTAATACTTCCTGCTGCCAACAACACAACCTATGGTATCATTCGGTTGCACAGTGGCGATACGTTGCCATTAACCCTAAGGACTGTTACTCGGATTTTATTCGATAAGTTGCCATAAATCCTACCTCAGCCTACCACAACCTACTTTTTGTAGGGTCCCTGTAAATTCCATATTAGGGTTCATAGTGAAAACCTACAAAAAAGTAGGTAATTGTAGGTTAAAGTAAGGCCTGTTCCTCTGAATTTGATAAGCAAGGCGCTTGCGGGATGCCGGCGTTGCGACGATGCACTGGACACCACAGGTCCGAGGGCACACAGTCCTGAGTCGCTTCCCAGACTCCCGGTAGACTCCTTGAAGGATTGCACTATACGGGGATTCCTTTAAGAGTGGCCTTAGAGGGTTGCTGTAGATGGGTCGATTGTTGAATGTCTGGTCTGAGGCCGGAAGCACTCACTTCCAGGTAGCCGGCGAAAACCACCGCAAACGCAACACACAGGTAGTTCGCAATATTAGGGTCCCTCTTTAGGCTGCTGTAACCCTAACCTGGGCAGTGACCACTCCACCCACGGTGGTATCTTGGCCATGGAACTCCTCTTTCAGGGACCTACAGAGGCGAGATGAAGGTGGGCCGGAATGGCTGGCCCTTTTTAGGAGGATTCGTATTTGGGACTTCCCACTATCTATATAAATATGGGTAGTTGTCAGAATTATGGTCCCCTTTGTGGTACCCTAAATAATAGGTGCCGTATTATAATAAGGGTCCCTTTTTTAAAACCACCCATATGTATGTGTACTCAGATATGCACCTGGAACGCCCTGGAGAACCCGGGCCTTTCTTGCTAAGTCAAGCCAAAGATCTTCACTTTGGGGTCGTAGCAATAGCTCTTCAAGCTCGAGCATGGAAGGGGCTGGTACTGCCTTGGTCAATTGCTTGCTGCTTCTGGCTGCAGGGTTCGGGGCTTTGGGGTTTAGTGGTTTAGGGTTTAGGGTTTAGGGTTTAGGGGTTTTGGGGCTTTGGGGTTTAGTGGTTTAGGGTTTGGGGGCTCCGGGTTTACGGAGTCTTCTAAGTTCTGAGGGTGCGGTTCTTGAGATCTCAAGGTTCTGCGGCCGACGGACGGCTGAGAGATCTGGGGCTTCCCAATTGATGCTTTACGGCTTTTGTTTCCAAAGCTCTGAACGACGAATATCGGCGGACTTATACTACTAGTTACAATGCTCCCGAAAGCCCAAACTCCTATCGATCCGTTCAGACCCCGACAGTACGAGGTTTCATGGGGCTACTGCTTTTTGGGGTTTATGGTTTAGCCTTGCCATGTCATTCATGCTTCTTTTTAGGCTCAAAGCCCTGGCTAACCGTAAAACTCACGGCATGCACCCAGGTGCGTGTGAAAGGCCCGCACACACCCTAAAGCGACCCCCCCAAAAAAGCCATCAAGCAGAGGACAAGCGAGAAAACAAAACTTTCCAGATAAGGACATAATAAGAAGGAGCCCTACGCAGAGATTATAGGGGTCTTTTTTGAACCCGGACTTGCTGAATGCTGAATGCCAGGAAACGGAAGGCGAGATGGGACAACTCCCATGATATTCATGAAAAACCCTAAAGCCCTAAACCCAAAAAACCGTAAACTTAAATCATTAGAACAGGGTTTCGGGGTCTACTGTGTCTCTCCCTTTATTTATGGAACCTTAAACCCGAAACCCGGACCATCAAGCATTACTTTTTGTTGTTACTATTACTATACTTATTAACTATTGCTGTTATTACTACTATTATTGTGACTATGGCGACGCCTGTAGTAGGGGAGTTGTGGGCGGACTTTCAAAGTTGCGGGGTCGGGTCGAAGTTGAGTCTAGTGTTTAGGCTTGAAAACATCACAGGGCTTAGGGGTTTAGCGGGTTAAAGCTTGGAGTTTAGGGTTTGAGTTTCCCTATGAAGTGGGCCTGAGTCTATGTCAGGGATTTGTGTGTGTATTATAGGGACCCTTAGGAGTGTTGGTGAGTGTATATTCGGGCTTTATTCTGGGAAGACTGCTTGGCTGACTTCTGAACCCCTCCTAAAAGTTAAACTTTTAGCCTACTTATTATAGTTCATAGAGAGACCCAACAAGCTAAAGTCCTAAGAGCCAACCAGAAGAACGCCACGACTAGTAGTAAGAACCCTCCTTCTCTTGAGCTTGCTGGTGTCCGAATTGCCTAAACCCTAAACCCTAAACCCTAAACCCTAAATGCTGATGAGCCCAGAGGGACGCTACGACATGCGACATAGTCACCCCTAAGCTCTCTGCCACAAACACCCTACACCACAACCCTTCACGCCCTAAACCCTAAACCCTAAACCCTAAACCCCTAATTAACCATCTCCTAAACCTTCGACCCTTTGGCCCTGAACCTTCGGCAAGACAAGTCTAGCCACCCCGAAAGCCTGCACCAGCCCCTTTAGGGTCTAAGGTTTGAGGTTTACGGCTGTTCTGTTTTTGAACGCCTCTTTCCGAAGGGTTCAGGGTTTAATCCTAGCCTAAACCAGGAAACCTCTCCCTTTAAAAAATTGGCACGCCCTAAACCCCAAACACATGTTTGGACCCGGGTGCCCATCCAGGAAGCTCGTGGGGAACTTGTCGTCGCCTCGACGAAATTGCTGAGGGCATCTCGTCCGGAAGTAGGGTTGAGGGGTTAGGGCTTTTAGGACGTGTGAAGGTGTTTGTAGGTTTCGGGTTTCATAAGAACTTTTGAAGATTTTTCAGAGGCCTATCGAATTTTTTATAGGAGTTCCACACAAAATCGGGCAGGCTGCGGCGCTTAACCAAACATGATGCCGCACGATGCTACATACAATTCCATTCAGTTTGAGTTCGCGGACTGCACTCCTAGCAAGTGTTCCATTCGAAAGGAAATTTCGTCACAGAGTATGCAAACACTGGTCGCAACTAAACAGCAAGAAACTGCAGGCAAATAGCCCATCTATGAACATATAGCTATCTAAACTTATGCATGTCAGTGTGCCCAAATGACCATGCTTCAGTTCTAAGCCCAGCCACAGCCAACAGAAGACAAGATGCAATGCGCAGGCAAGTTGTCGAACACATCGTTCTCGGAAGCACACCTTGTTTGAAGGACCAGGGGATTTCATAAGTAGCGATATAATCAAGGGAAGAACTGATGCACAGTTGTATATATTTTTTATATGTCCATATACCTGCATGTATACATGGACACACCTATAAATATACACAAATGAATATATACATCGAAGATGTTTGTACTGACAGCCCCAAGTCTTCCTGCTTCTAAGCCCCCTTATCCCTTATGTACTTGCGGCAGAAGGAAGAAGCAAATGTCTTGGTGTTTAAAAGGTTTGTAGTACCAACAAAGCCCCTGACCCAACCCTAGAGCCCACCCTCTAAATTTAGGGTTTAGGGTTTAGGGTTTAGGGTTTAGGGGTTTAGGGTTTAGGGTTTAGGGTTTAGGGTTTAGGTAAGAACCCTCACCTTCGAGCCACACGAGCGCAAAAGATTTATGTACCTATTATTCAGTATATACTTGAGCCTTACATCAGCCCTGTGAACCAACATATGGGTGGTTGTCAAAATTATGGTCCCTTTTTGGGTCCTTATTATAATACGGCACCTATTATTTAGGGTAGCCAAAAAGGGACCCTAATTTTGACAACTACCCATATATACTCCGTAGGCACAAAGACTTCTAATGGGCAGGGTTCAAGTACCTATTACGCAGATACTCCGCTCCAGCTAAATGGGGATTTAAGTTTCGGGTTTAAGGTGATACCCCACCCAAGGGCTTGGGGTTTGGCGACTAACCTACGTGACTACTAAGTCTTACTAAGTGACTCCAAACCTACGCTCAGGGTGCCTGAATATTGGGTCCTTCGGACCCCTTTCAAAAAGCCAAGAGGCATACATCCGTGGCCCATCATCTCGGTGGCATCGAACTTCCCTCGGTTAGAGATATGCAAGCTCACCCTAATGCAGTTCACGCTCTCGGTCTTAGGGTTCAGGCTTCTTAAATTGGGTCATGTTCTTATACGGACTTAATGCTATTTTTGGGTGTTCAGGGCCGTATTGGTACCTTTTAGGGCAGGGATGTTGGCGCCTAGCAGTTTCGAGTTATACCCTCGGGTTCCCGATCATGGGCCCAGGTGGCTAGAGGCTTGCACTTTAGGGGCGGGTTTCAAGATATTCTTTGTTGTTGCGGCCGTTTCAAGATGTACCATGACCTAATGCACGCTGTTACAGATTAAATCAAAGCTCCAACACATCCTAATCATTTGGAAGTTCCGGAAAACGGAGATGTAAGTGATGCAAGGATCGGACATGCATATATACATACTAACATATGCATATGCATATATGTATAAAGCACCTATACAAGCAAACAAACATACATACATGCATGCATACATGCATACATACATACATACATACATACATACATACATACATACATACATACATACATCCGTATATATATATATACAGACAGAACGCATCTATCAAATATCGCTTCATGCCGTATTATGCTGTGTCGTATGATATCATAACATATTTTCAGTTTATCACGTTATGTTGTAGAAAGTATGTTAGATCGCACTTTTACACACAGTCTTGTGTGTTAAGCTTGACTATACTGTGTAACGATGCATTATATATCATGTTCTGCTTATATCATACCACGTTCGTTCCTTCTGTTTGATATTATGCTCGTTTCTGGTATAATTTATAAAGCTAAAATATATTCTATTATGCTATCTTGTCATGATATATTACACACACTGTATAGCATAGCACGGTGTAGTGTAGTGTAGTATAACATAGCATAGCAAGCATAGTATAGCGTAGGAAACTATAGCACCTCATACGTTTACACTACGTTAAACTATGCTCTACTGAGTTCTACTGTATCAATATCAACCTATTCTAATCTTTGTATTATGCATATGTAAGTACTAACGCGCGCTCAGTGTAGTATTGTTCCCCAAGTCATAAACCCAAGGCCTCAGAGAAGGAACAATTTAAGTCCTCTGTCAATTTCGGTCTAAAGTGCAGGCTTCCCGGTGTCCGAACCAGGCATCCCTAAACCCAAAACCCTAAACCTTAAACCCCAAACACCTAAACCCCAAACACCTCAACCCAAAACCCTAAACCCGAAACCCAAAAGATCCTAGACCCTAAACCTTAAACCCCAAACACAGTCTCAGCCTCGGGCCCGAAACCTCAGACCAGAAACCCTCACTCCCGCACTTCAGCCCTGACCCCGAAAGCGTAAAGTTCACAAACCTTGAAACATCCCGAGCCCTAAGGGTTTAGGGTTTAGGTTTTAGGGAGTAGGGTCTAAATCCCTAAATTGATTTTTATAAATTCGGGTTTAGGGTTTAGGGTCAAATGAGTCAAATCCCTAAATGTATAAACCCTTAAGCCCTCGTTCCCGAATCTTTTACCAAAACCCTAAACCCTAAACCCTAAACCCTTAGGCTGGCATCTGCGATCTTCGACGGAAGCCGGGTCCGAACACTTCCAGCTCTCGCCCGTTACCTTGGCTGACTTCTGGACCCCTCCTAAGGGGTTTAGGGGTTTAGGGTTTAGGGATTTTTAAGGTTTAGGGTTTAGGGCTTTAAAAGTTAAGCTTTTTGTCTCCTTGTTATGGTTCATATAGAAGCCCAAAAAATTAAAGTCCTAGAAGAGCCAAGCAGAAGAACGCCAAGTTACGACGGATCCAGCGGCGCACTTGCACCTGGGCGGATTTTTTGCGTGTTTGTGGGGCTTCTAGTTTAGGGTTTAGGGTTTTGGGGCTTCTAGCTTTTCTAGGGTTTCGGGTTTCTGAGGTTTCGGCTTGAGGGCTAAGGGTTTATAGGCCTTAGACGATTTGGGATACGAGGTTTGCGAAGTGTTGCGGTTAGAGTTTAGTCATGAGCCCCCTGCAGAGCATTCGTCTATGGGGCTGCGGGTGAGCTCTATAGAGATTCCGAGGATGAACCCATGTTAACATTGTATAGAACCCTAAACCCGTTGTTGCTACCTGTTTCTCTTGCAACAGGCTTCCCTCTTCGCCCGGAGTTGCTACCCTAAGCCCTAAACCCCAAAACCAAAACCCTAAACTCAAAACCTGAAACCCTGAACCGACAACACCCAGCACATAACCTCGGGCCACGAGTCTTCGCGGATTCGGAGTACGATAGGGGCCTGAATAACTAGAACAGGGCTTTGGGGCCCATTATACTATAACCCTAAACCCTAAACCCCATAAGCCCTTAAACCCTAAACCCCCAAAGCCCTTAAACACCCCAAAGCCCAGAACCCTAAACCCACATAATCATAATAAAGAGCCCCCCCAAAATAGTATTGGTAATTACTTAGGCCCCTACATTAGAGCTTCGGCTGCTGGAGCTTGGGGAGTTCCACGGTTTAAGGCTGAGGGGGTTTAGGGTTTAGGGGGTTTGGGGTTTCGGGGGGTTTAGGCTTAGGGGGTGTAGGGTTTAGGGGGTGTAGGGATTAGGGTTTTGGGAGGGTTGTGGGTTTACGGATTAGGGTGTAAGGCTTAGGGGGTTTCAGGCTTAGGGGGTTTGGGGTTTAAGGTGTTCAGGGGGGGTGTTGGCTTCAAGCAGAATGGCTGCTCGATTTCGAATCTTAGCTAGTTGCGCAGTTGAAACCCCCAAACCCTAAACCCAAAGTAGGGGCTTAGGGGTGCACTGCGGCTTTGGGGGATCGGGGATTCCACGCTGGGGGGCTTGGATTAAAAGCCTCGTAGCATGTACCCTGGAGTTTCAGCTAAATTAAGATAGGGGCCTTAATACATAGCGTGAGGTTTTGGGGGATATTATGCGATACAGAGATGGGTACTAGAACGACTCTAAGGTGATCTTAAGAGCTGATTGTTCGGACTCCTGTGTTGATCTCCTTCAGTCCAAGACGCGTCTTGCCGTTGCGCTTGATGCGCTGCCAAAGGCTCGTCTCACGGGGCACTGCTCCCGCAATCGCCTCAGCGACGAATGCTTCGGATCCTAGCAGCTTTCGAGTTCGAGGTTTCAGACCCTTAGGGTTTAGGGGTTAGGGTTTAGGGTTTAGGGTTTAAGGCAGTTCTCTAAATTAGGTTCCCCTTTAGGGTCCTGTTTATAAGGGTGCCGTACTAGTTGGGGTTCATGAAAAAGGCCCCTAATTTAGAGAACTAC